ATCTGCAAGGCACAACCGAATCGTCCCGGCCGCCCGTTCCTGCAGATCTTGCCAATCATCGTCTTCCATCCCCTTTGGCTTTTCTGCACGCAGCCCTTTCTGAATTCCTTGTTGCGCCAATAAATCTTTTACTCTCGTCTGCCATAATCCGAAATTGCCATGACCATCAAATTTCGAGACCTCGAATTTCGATCCTCCTGTCATCTCCGTCGCCCAATCAACCAGGCTCTGGTACCACTTGTTGAGTGAAGATGACAATATGGCATACGAATTAAAAAATGAGAAAAGTAAATAACACAAGATTTACGTGGTTCGGCAATATGCCTACGTCCACGGCGGCTGAGGGATCTTTATTATTCTCAATAGTCTCCACTCCGCTCACTTCGCTCGGTCGCTCCGCTTCCCTCGCTACGTTCGCTCCGTTACGCTCGCAGGCATCAGCCTGCCTCTTTCCTTTGTCAATATATAAGCCATATCAACAAAAAGTATCATATTTTATAACACAATTATCCAATTTTATTAAACAAATATGATAGGTCGACTCATCTAACAGTTACATCTGCTCACACACGACTTTTTGTAATTATATACATAGGCTCGTGGGGTGATTAAATTTTGGGGAAGTGCTTCTAAAATCCCTACACCTTCTTTTAACTTCATGTTCAGTCCCCATGTTGTTTTTTGCCCACTGCACTCCCCACCTAAAATCATCTTCCTCTTAACTCTTATTATTTAAATAAATCAAAAATAAATTGAAAATGACATCATCCACACTATCATTCATCTCATCATATTATTTTATTATTTCTCTCTCTTTCCACTACTAATATTTTTTTCTCTCTCTTTCCACACATTTTTTTTGGAAATGCTATGGTCCCGTTACGACACCATTCTGTCGGGTGTTTTAACCGTTGGCTCATCTATCTTATACTAACTACATGTGTATCAAACGGTTAAAACACCCGACGGGGTAGTACCGTAACGGGACCGGTAGCATTTCTCTATTTTTTTATTATTTTTCTCATCTTCCACTATTCATCAATTTCATCTCTTCTACTACTTTTTTTTCTTAATTCTTTATTATTTTTCTTTCTCTATCATTCCACACAATATATAGGTACTAAATTACAACAACATTGGTATTGTCCTACTACATTATATGTATAATTTTTGTAAAGAAATATTTACAGTATATATTCATTTTCGTTCATATAAGTCTATATTAAATGACAATATATAAGTATTGAGTTACTACAACACTGGTACTGTCCTATTTCAGTATAGATATCAGTTTTGTAACTCATTAAAACAAACTATTATGAATCTCGTATGATGCAAGGGTAATAGATATTCATTAATATTTATAAATTAAAAATTTTGACTAATAATCTTTATAATTTAAATTACATGAAATCAATATGTAATACTCCCCCTATATTAATTTATTTAAAATGTTATATGAAATTTGAATTGTGCAAAATTTTATAAAATTAGTACACAACTCGTATGATGTACATAACTGATAATAAGTTACATTATTTTATTTTAAAATAGGTGTCATTTTAAAATTTGTATTCAAAATTCAATTTAAGTACAATGTGGTTCCATATAATAAATATTTTGATAATTTTTTATCATATATTTAAAAATATATGTGAGTAATAAGTATAATATTAAAACTTATATCTTTTCATTAATTAATATAAGTTTAGTTTTGTATAAACTATTCAAATAAAAAAAATCTATTTTACTAATCTTTATTTCATATAAATCTATATTATACAAATATCACGATTTTTAAGGTTTGTTGTATGTTACTCTGTCGTTCAAATATCATCTAATTCTCTATTATACTATAAATTTTATATAAAAATATATTTATTCAAAAATCTATCTATTTTTTAAAAGGAATATATTTATCAACTAGTACGATACCCGTGTACTATACGAGTACCTAAATATATTATTACTTGTACAATAGAAAATTTAAAAATAAATTATTTTATTGTAAAATGTATAATGACTATAAAAAATAATGAATGACTAACAAAGTAGTAACTAATTCAAAATGGGGTCCGTATTTTTACGCTTAATTTTCTTATTTTATTTAAAATCCATGGTAAAATGCAATAAAATTATTATTTTATGGTGTATTACTGTATTACATTTTTATTATTTTTTTATAAAATAATTTATGTTGTATTCATATTTTTGAAATTATTTTTTTTAATAAATATAGTTTTATTTATAATGATAGATGTAATTATTTTTTATTTTATATATGCAATATGAATGTCAAATTGAAGATCATTAAAATATGATATTTTGTGATATAACATACAAAAAATAAAATAAAAATAAAAAATTATAAAGATTTAAAAATAAAAAGAATACATATTCATTATAACAATTATAATATAAAGTAAATAAGAAAGAGTAAGAGTAGTATATGGTAACTTGAGAAAAAAAATAAAGAAAAAAAAAAAGAAAAACCTAATATAGTTTATGGTAATTCTCAAGCCTAAAATCGAATATGTACGTGTGTCAATACAAAGCATATAATTATGCCAAATAAACATCTGAAGCATATGAACCTGTCACTTAGGCTCAGGGCATTCAGAAATTATATATAAGGTCAGTGGCGAAACCAGCCGGTCATCTCGGGGAGGGCCCGATTTGCCGCGGCGCACCACCCCCACTCCGGCCATCCCGCGGCGCACCACCCCCGCTCCGACATCGGAAGGGCGCTCAA